CGCTTCATTGGAGCCAGGATCTAGGGGATGGGCCCGTTCCCCTGCCGGCGCCCACGCCGTCAAGGGAAAATGGATCTCACCTCGCACATCCCAACCAAGAAGTTCTGGAGACCTCTGCACCCTAAAAGCCCTACAGTGCCCCCATCCCTTTGATCCCTCAGTCCTTCCTCCAGGAAGCCTTTTCTGATTTCCCTGCCCAGATGCATTGCTCGTAACTCACATTTTCCCAAATGCGTTCTTCCTACATCTGCTCTGTGCCAGCGCCCAGAGGCCCTCAGGACTCTGCTGTTTGTGCCCTGGGGCATCCACAGGCCAGCCCTAGGAGGCCTCAGAATGAAATCTCCCTGGGGTGACCAGAGCTAAGTGCTCCAAGACCCCAGGGAATCAGGGACACTGTCCTGGGAGGTGGCATAAAGGCTGGTCATCAAGAGATGGTCGGGGAGAGCTAGAAGGTGGTGTGTGAAGAGGGGCTCAGGTCAGGGGAGATAAAATGGAGCATTGGGAGAGGTCTTGGGGGCCCTGCTGCAATTTCTGCTCTGGTTCTGGGGACCAAAAGGAATAGCAGGCATTTTACCCATAATAGATTTACTTCTTAAGATTCCTGCAACGTAGGTGTGAAAACCGGAGGCGAAGAAAGGTGAAACAACCTGCATGAGGTAAACCCCTAATCAGTCGAGCTGGGATTTACACTTGGAGCTGATGCCTCCTGAACTCCCTGTCTATGGCACTTGGCGCCACTCGTGGAAGGATTTGGGCAGAGCAGGGACAAGATCAGCTTTGCCCTTTAGAAAGAATCCCTGGCAGCTGTGTGGGGGAGGGAGTGCAGGGGAAGGAAGGCCAGTGAGGAGCCCCCCAGCAAGGGTGATCGCAGAAGAGGCTAGTGAGGTCTTTAGGAGATGGAATGGGCTGGACTTGAGCCCCAAGAGGAGGGTTGCATGTTCCTAGTTTTGGGAAGGGCACAGGTGGGAAGGGGCTAGATGGACTCTGTGGGTTGGAAGGACCTGCCTGTGTAACCCCCAGGGTAGAGTCCATTGAACCCTTTGCTGACCACTAATACTGTACATAATGGCCCAAGCACTCAGGGCTGTTGGGATAGAGGCAGAAGCCAGCAACAGGCTGTCCGTCATCTAGGGTTGTTGAGTTGATGCCAACAGCTGCCTTTGCAGACCAAGCTTGGTTACCTGAGCCAGTTCAGGACCCTGACCCACAGATGAAGCTCAAACTCTTCCCCTGGGATTAGTTTCTGCTTATCAGGGCAACATGCCCCTCTCCTTGTCCTACCAGCTTCCCATTGGGGTTGTAAGGAGGGAAGCTGCAACAGTCCAAGCTTGGGAGGGGCAAGGGGCAGGAAACACTCGAGTTGACCATGACAGTTTAGAATTATGGCAAGAAGCTCTAGGGAGTGAAACCCATAGGAAAGATGCTATGAGTTGGCTGCCAAGGATACCCACCCAGGTAGGGCACTGGAAAAGGGGACTCAGGACAATGGTCTTGAGACCTTGTTTCCATGCAGGACTCTGAGTCTAGCTGGGGACCACACATTTTCAGTGGAAACAGTAGGCAGAATGACAAATGATCAGACTCAACCTATGGACCTTAGAGAAGGTGGTGCTACATGTTGTACTGCACATTACAGTTTACAAAGCACCTTCCCCAATATTATCCCTGTCCCTCTCACGATTACTTCTGAGTTTTGCTCCTGCCCACACCTGGCCTCTGCCACAGCCCCTTGCTGCTTGCCTCTGTCTTTGATCTCACTTTCACTACTGGCACCTTCCCTTGGTGTTGCAACACACTCGGGTTTTTACCATGTTTTGTTTTTTAAAGTAAAAAGAGTTCTTGGATCCCAAGATCTTGAATTGCTACCTTCCCTGGCCTCTTTTAGCAGGAGCTTGCCCATCTCTCTCCACATCCCTCTACACCCACAGTCTGGTTTTGCTTGCACCACTTTCCCAACAAAGGCACCAATGATGTCCCCACATGTCAAATCCAGGGCACATTCTTCCATACTGATTTTACCTGCTCCCTTTCTTTTTGACACCAGGGGTTTCCCCTACGTTTTTTTAATCCCGCCCCCCCCCCATCTTGGCCTTCAGGAGCCACCTTCTCCTGGTCTTCTTCCTGCTCCCACATGGTCTCCCAGGCTTCTGGACTCTGTCATCTTGGCTACATGACAAGCCCCACCCACATCACCCAGTACTTATGATGACCCCAATCTCCCTCTCCGACTACAGCACGAGAGGCATCTTTTTCTGGTCTTCCCAAGAGCATGTCTCTCCCCACAAGCTTTCTGCCCCTGTCATGTTAAGGGTGTCACTCTCATCTGCCCCAGCCTGGATTCTTCCCTTGCCCCCACCCTCTGAAACCCATTTGTATTAGGTCTTGCCAGTTCTTCCTCCAGTCAGGCCTTCCCACTGGTTCCAAGCCTTAGGCCAGCTAGCCTCCATCCTCCCAGGCCCCAGCTGCTCCCTACATCGCAAGCACCCAGGGATAATGAAAGAAGGGACCATCTCTAAGGTGGGAGGGTAGTTTCTGGGCTTCACGGCTAACAGGCTGGAGTATGATGGGGAGGGGGAGGCAGGGACTAGGGGAGGCAAGAGAAGCACCCTAGGTATAGTATTTCAAGAGGCACTGACTCTCAGGGTTATGTACCTGCTGATCCTGCACTTAAATTTCACCCTAGGTGTCTCTCTTCCTTCGCCCTAGTCCTAGCCCCTGGGTGGAGGGACAGATTGACCAGAGGAGGAAGGTGGCAAAGTTCTGTTTTCCATACCTGTTGGGACAGACATTGAGAGAATGGAATTCTACAAAGGTAGTAGACTGACTAGTTAGTGAACTTTCCAACCAGACAAAACTCCAACTCACTGTCATCGAGTCGATTCTGACTCATAGCGACCCCTTTGAGTTTCCAAGGTGGTAAATCTTTATGGAAGTTGATTGCCCAGTTTTCCTTCTGCAGAGTGGCTGGTGGGTTTGAACCGCCAGTCTTCTGGTTAGCAGTCAAATGCCTTAGGCTGGAGTATAGGCCACCAGAGGGGGCTTGTAATTCCTAGCCACTTGGCCAGAAGACTCCTGAAGTGCAGGAGTTTTTGTCAGGCTTCCTTGGTCTGGGCATGGTGAAAGGTGAACACAGTATTAGAGTTGCATCTGGGTGGAAGACTGACTGGGCAACACTCAGAGGGCCCCGAGACCATCTGCACCCCTTCACTTGGTATTGAAGGAGGGTCCTGCCTGGTTTCTGGTGGGAGTAGGCTGTAAAGGCTCCTATCTCTGGCACAGTTTACACCTGTGGCAGGCACTGCCTGGTGCCCCTGCCCAGCTCTGTTACACAGATCTCTGGGGCAGGTGTTCCCAGGTGCGGACTTGAAACAAAGGAACCAGGAAGTGGGTCCTCCCAGAGCACAGGTAACCCGAGGCCCTGCTTCATCCTGCTCCCATGGGCTGGCCTTGGGAAGGGGGGCCACATGCCTGCAAAAGGGCTTGGAGGACCTCAAGGTGAACTGAGTAGGGTCAAGGTCCACAGGGAGCTTGGGGGCGGGGGCAGGTAATCCAGGAAGTCTTCCTGGTGGCAGAGAATACCTAGCACAGCTTGGCGGGTGCAGAATTCTCCCGGCGCCGCGGGGTGCAGAGCCCCCCCACCTGTGGGAAACGCTGGACTGGAGAGAGGCATAGCCTGCACCCGCCGCTGGCGGCACTGCGTCTTCAGTCCCGCCTCAGCCAGCCCGAGGTCCTCCGTGAAGGTATTGACCTTGGGGGAGGGGGCCTTCTTGTGCCAGGGCCCCTTGCGGAGGAGTTGGGAACACCTCTGGGAGGGCTCCCTTGCCACCCACAGCCTCCATCTGTCCGTGGGGCGACGCCCACTGGGTTAAGGCGACCTAGGTGCACGCCTCAGTAGCAGCTCCAGCCCGCTATCCCTAAACTACCCTCTTTTCCTCGCGTGCCTGCTGCCTCCGGGCGCCTGGCACGTGGTAGCCACCCAAGGTAAGTCCTTCGTTCCTCCCATTTTGCAGAGGAGAAAACTGCGGTCCAGGATGGCTCAGTCGTCAGGTCCAGAGTCAAGCAGCTGGTTGGGGCCGAGCCCTGACTGCGGGAGTGAGGCACATGGCTCCTGCAGACTGGGCCTTGGAGGGTCCCTGGCTTGAGGACCTGTCTGCCCCACAACCCCTTGGAAAGGCAAGGAGAGGAGCCAGCGCTGGTAGTGAGCCTCCACCTCTGCCCTGCACTGCAAGATTCTAGGTTAGGGGGCCCGGGAAGGACCGATGCCCACAATTTTTGGATAAGAATGAGTTTCTCTCCTTTCCCTAACTTGTGAGATTCCCTGTTGGATTCAGGTACTGGTGCTCCCTTCCAGCCTCATCTCTGCAGCCTGTGAGGTTGCCATATACAGGCCCAGACACAGGGTAAAGAACCCCAAAGTTCTGGGGGTTGCAGTGAAAAGCTGAGGGGTCACTGAAAGGCTCATGGAAGAAGTGGGGTTGAAGCAAGAGTGGAGGAATGAAATACATTCCAGATCTGGGAAAAGCTGAACAAAGCTGGGAGGGTGTGAGCATGTTGCCCTGGCGTTTGGGATTTATCAGATGGGAACCACACTCACTGCCATCAAGTCGATTCAGACTCATAGTGGCCCCTCATTGGGTTTCCAAGGTGGTAAATCTTTATGGAAGTAGATTGCCCCATCTTCCTTCCGTGGAGTGGCTGGTGGGTTTGAACCGCTAGTCAACCTTCTGGTTAGCAGTCAAATGCCTTAGGCACTGCGCCACCAGAGCACTTTATCAGATGGGAACAGAAAACCCCTACTACCAAACTATCAGACTTACCCTAGCCCCATTCCCTTGCCCTGGATTCTGGGGTATTCTTTTACCCTTTGTAGAGAAGGGGACATAGAGGGGCAGGGTGCAGGTGGTCCTGGGGCTCACTTGGTTGGGGTGATGGAAGTAAGGGTGGGGTCTGACCTATCTCTGCCTCCCCAACTGTACCCACAGTGCCCTCCTGGCTTAGTCATGGCGAAGCTGGAGACACTGCCTGTGCGTGCTGACCCAGGGCGGGACCCCCTCCTGGCCTTTGCCCCAAGGCCCTCTGATCTCGGACCCCCGGAGCCCCGCCTGGCCATGGGCAGTGTGGGCAGTGGGGCGGCCCACACCCAGGAGTTCGCCATGAAGAGTGTGGGCACCCGCACGGGGGGTGGGGGCAGCCAGGGCAGTTTCCCTGGCCCCCGCAGCAGTGGCGGTGGGACCAGCAGGGAGAGGCCTGGCCGATACCCCTCAGAGGACAAAGCTCTAGCCAACTCCCTCTACCTCAATGGCGAGTTGAGGGGCAGTGACCACACAGACGTCTGCGGCAATGTGGTGGGCAGCAGTGGTGGCAGCAGCAGCAGTGGTGGCAGCGACAAGGCCCCACCACAATACCGCGAGCCCAGCCACCCACCTAAGCTCCTGGCCACCTCGGGCAAGCTAGACCAGGTCAGCCACCAGGACCTAAGACCCTAATAGTCTTTTACTGGGGGGGAGGATGCAGCTCAGAGGGGTGGTCAAAGTGGGCCTTCTAGGAAGTTGGGTTCTAGGGACAGGGATGGAGGTTGGGCTGAGGCCTGGGGGCCAAGTCTAGCTGGTGAGTCTTAAGGCAGAAACCAACTGAGAAGGATTCCCAGGGTGGCGATCCCATGAAGGTGGGAAGTAGGACAAGACAGAATCCCAACAGGGCTAAGGCCCTCATTCTGATGCCCAGGCCCCCCTCTTTGCTTTCATGCAGTGCTCAGAGCCACTAGTTCGGCCATCAGCCTTCAAGCCTGTTGTACCCAAGAACTTCCACTCCATGCAGAACTTATGTCCTCCACAGACCAACGGGACCCCTGAGGGACGCCAGGGACCTGGGGGTGGCCTCAAGGGTGGACTGGACAAGTCTCGGACCATGACCCCAGCCAGCGGGGGTGGGGGCAGCCTCTCTGACTCAGGCCGGAACTCACTCACAAGCCTGCCCACCTACAGCTCCAGCTATAGCCAGCATCTCGCACCCCTCAGTGCCTCCACCAGCCACATCAACCGCATCGGCACTGCTAGCTATGGCAGTGGCAGCGGCAGTAGCAGTGGTGGCGGATCGGGCTACCAGGACCTGGCAGCCTCTGACAGTGGACGAGCCTCCAGCAAGAGCGGGTCATCCTCCTCCGTGGGGCGGCCAGGCCACCTGGGCTCTGGGGAGGGCGGAGGTGGAGGCCTGCCATTTGCGGCCTGCTCCCCACCCTCTCCCAGCACCCTGATCCAGGAGCTGGAGGAGCGGCTGTGGGAGAAAGAGCAGGAGGTGGCGGCTCTGCGGCGGAGCCTGGAGCAGAGCGAGGCAGCCGTGGCTCAGGTACTGGAGGAGCGGCAGAAGGCGTGGGAGCGGGAGCTGGCCGAGCTGCGCCAGGGCTGCAGCGGGAAGCTGCAGCAGGTGGCCCGCCGTGCCCAGCGTGCCCAGCAGGGCCTCCAGCTGCAAGTGCTGCGGCTACAGCAGGATAAGAAGCAGCTGCAAGAGGAGGCGGCCCGGTTGATGCGCCAGCGGGAAGAGCTGGAGGACAAGGTGGCCGCCTGCCAGAAGGAGCAGGCCGACTTCCTGCCCCGGATGGAGGAAACGAAGTGGGAGGTGCGGGCTGGGGGCTCGGGCTTTTTTCCCTCTGTCTCTCTTCCTTCCCTCTCTCTGGTGAAACCCAGAGCGGTAGCCCACCACTGTCATAAGATGGGTAAAAGGAGTACTCACTGCTGTCGAGTTAGATCCAACTCATAGCGACCCCTCCTTGGGTTACTAAGGCGGTATCGCTATGGAAGTAGATTTCCCAACCTTTCTTCCGAGGAGTGGCTGGTAGGTTTGAACCGCCAGCCTTCTGGTTAGTAGTCAAATGCCTTAGGCACTATGCCACCAGAGCTTCCTGTAAAAGGAGTAGGGGGGTACAAAATCAATTAGTTGTGTCTGTGAGGACTACAGGCTGCCCCTGGGCTGTGTGAGATGGCCATACACAATTAACCATGTCTGTTGTTTCTGCTTCCGTCTCATGAGGGGCTGAGCCTGACCCCTGAGGAAGCTTGGTGCCTCTGGGGCTAGTTAGAAGGCTGGGTTGGGGTGATCGGAACTTTGCCTTTACCTTGGCCTCTCCTCTCACCTGACCCCGCCCAGGTGTGCCAGAAGGCTGGCGAGATTTCCCTCCTGAAGCAGCAGCTGAAGGACTCGCAGGCGGATGTGTCGCAGAAGTTGAGTGAGATTGTGGGGCTGCGTTCCCAGCTGCGGGAGGGCCGGGCCTCACTGCGGGAGAAGGAGGAGCAGCTGCTCAGCCTGCGGGACTCTTTCAGCAGCAAACAGGCCAGCCTGGAGCTGGGTGAGGGTGAGCTGTCTGCGGCCTGCCTCAAGCCCGCGCTGACCCCTGTGGACCCGGCCGAGCCGCAGGATGCACTGGCCACATGCGAGAGCGACGAGGCCAAGATGCGTCGTCAGGCCGGCATGGCTGCCGCCGCCGCCACTGCCTCCTTGGGTTCCTTGGACGGGGAGGTGGATGCTGGGGGAGATAGTGGGACACGAGCCCTGCGGAGGGAGGTGGGGAGGCTGCAGGCCGAGCTGGCAGCTGAGCGGCGAGCCCGGGAGCGCCAGGGAGCCAGCTTCGCAGAGGAGCGCCGCGTGTGGCTGGAGGAGAAGGAGAAGGTCATTGAGTACCAGAAGCAGCTGCAGCTGAGTTATGTGGAGATGTACCAGCGCAACCAGCAGCTGGAGCGGCGGCTGCGGGAGCGCGGGACAGCGGGGGGTGCAAGCACGCCCACGCTCCAACACGGAGAGGAGAAGAAAGCCTGGACCCCCTCCCGCCTGGAGCGCATTGAGTCCACAGAAATCTGATCCCCAACCTGGGCATGTGGCCTTTTGACAAATGCCTGGTCAAAAGGCCTGAGTCCCCAGTTTCCCCTCCCCTCCATCTCCCTTCCCCACGTCCTCCTCCACATCCCCAGACCAAAGAGGTTCTCAAAGAAGCTGTGACCAGACCAACACCCTCCCCCCTTGGTGACCTCCCAAGTCCATCACTGCTCCTCTGGCCAGCCCACTCAGACCCTCCTTCCAAGGAGGGAATGAAGGGGAGGGCAGAGTGAGTAGAGGTGAGGGACCCAAGCAGCAGAGAGCCCACGCTCTCTCTCTTGGCCCCCTTTGTTAGAAATGTGAGCGACAGGCCTGTAGTGCCACAAGGGGCCCCGGCCCTTCTGTGGGCCTCAGTTACTACTGTTGGCCATTGTATGTCCAGTGATGCTGTGCTCACGTCCTCGGCCATGTAACCTGAGGAGGCCTGCATAGGGTTTGCTGAAGCTGACAGGCCCCTGGTCTCTCCTTCCTGGGCAGGTTGGCAGTGCAAATAAGAGCAGATGGCCAGCCTGTGGTTGACAGGGCTACTGCTACCTGCTAGCTCCTCCCCCCAAGGTCTCTAGATCTCAGGCCTCAGAGACTGGCCTGGGCCTGAGTGAGTGTCTGTATGTGTGTGTTGGGGGTGGGGTGGAAGGTGGAGGCTTAGGGCCCAGGGAAGATTTGCCCTCCTGTTCCTGGGAAGGGTCACCTGAAGGCTTCTTAACTCCACCCTCACCCTCTGACCAAGATCCCACAGCTTCATCTGCTTGGCTGATCCCATACCCAGAGCCACTGCCTGGCTCTAACTGCAGCTATTAAGTGCTACCTGCCTCTCGGGCACTCCCCTCACTCAGTTTCTGAGGTCAAATGAGTGTCTGTGATGTCTTCCTGTGTCTTCCCTATTCAATTGCCCCAGCCTTCACCTGCTTTCATGCTCAGAACATCATTATCCAAGACCACTTTTTCCCCAGAGTCTCACCTTTCCTTCCAATAGAAAATTCTGCTTGACTTTAGGTGCACTACCCACCTCCAAGGTCTTCTGGACCCAGGGTTGAGCTGGAGGCCCTTAAATGGGGGGGGGGGGTTGATGTAACTGCCCTTGAAGAACCAGGCTGACCTGAGGGAACACTGACCTCTTGGCTCCCAGGGCCCTGAGGTGGCCCAGCATTTGCCCAGAGTAGGCCCGGCATGGCCGTCAGTACAGGTTGGGAGCCAGTGTCACTCCTTTCCTCCTCCTGGATCCTCTCAGAGTTCAACTCCCCACGGCAGGAAATGAAAAGCAAATTTCTAATTCACCAGCAATAAAACTTGGAGGAGGCTTGGCCCTCAGCCCTCTATTTCTCTTTTCACTCTCCCTCCCACCCCCAAGACGGGTGGGGATGGGGCATGGTGGAGAGAGCTGGCAACTACTGTGAGCAAGTCCCCCAGCCCCTGACCAGCCTCCTCCCATGACTGGTGACTGTTTGATGAACTGTGAGCCTCCTACAAAAACACGAGTGCCCTGTGTGGCCTCTACCCTCCTCCCAGCACATCTCCTTCCAGAGTGCCCTCACCAGGTCTCTGAGCTGGGCAGGGAGGCTGTCCTGGCCACCATTGCCCATTCCACCCACACCTGACTGCACCTGCCTCAGAACCTGGGCCTGGGCCACAGAGGCAGGGTGAAAAGGCATTAGTAGGAAAAATAAATAAGGAAAAATATGACTAGACTCAGCCTTTGGGACTTCCAACCATAAAATAAATTATATATATAAATATATATAGATATATATCTCTACCATATGTGATAGAAAGACTTTTCGTTTTCCTTTCCCAAAGAAATAAAATGGAGAAAGCCTCTTGAGTGGAATTCTTTGGCATGTTTATGTCTTTGCAGGTGTGGGAGGCGGGGCCTGGGGTGTGGCGGGCAAAGCTGGAGTAAACAGACTTCCCAGAGGAGGCATGAGACCTAAGGTGCTCACTAGGCCGTGCCAGGAGATTGGCCCAAAGCCCAAGCTCCTCCGTTGCCCAGGAGGAGTGTGGCTCCACGTTTATACCCAACAGGACTCTCTTTAGCTCAGAACCTAGGCACCGGGCTGCTGGCCAGAAGGCAGGTGATCTAGGACAGTAAGATGCAGCCTGTAGCAGCCTGAGCCACCTTATAGTGTTGGCTGAAGTTGAGGATAGAATATGCAGAAATGAGGGCTGAGAAAAGATTTGTAATTAGTGGTGAGGGCCTAAAGGCAGAAGGGAGCCAAGCATGCTGCAGAGCAGGGAGATGGCCTTTAGGGGTAAGTTCTGTCGTTTTGGGGTCATTGGTGGTATAGTGGTTCAGTCCTCACCTTCCATGCAGAGACTCAGATTGGACTCCAGCCAATGCACCTTATGCACAGCCCCCACCTGTGTGTCAGTGGTGGCATACATGTTCCAATGATGCTGAACAGGTTTCAGCAGAGCTTCTAGACTAAGAGTAGGATGGAAGGGCTGAGATTCTACTTTCAAAAATCAGTCAATAAAGCCCTATAGATCACAAGGCTCTGATCCACAGCTGATTGTGCATCATGAAGCAGGACTGGGTGGCAGTTTGTTCTGTTGTGCATGGGGTTGCCATGGGTCGGGTCAACTCCATGGCAGCTAACAACAGCTGTCCTTTCTGACAAATCCTGTCATCCTCACAAAGCTCCCAATCAAGAATGCATTCTGCTACAAAGCACAAAACAATATTTCTAGGATCTCAAAAAGGAGTTTATTGCTCCTCACATGACAAGATGTCCGCAATTAGGTGCTGTAGGTGTTGGTTCATTGAGCGCCCAAACTTTTCATCCTGTCACCTTAGCATGTTGTTTCCTCCTTGCCACAAGGCGGCTGCCACAGCTCTATGAACGGATTGGGAGCAGTACCACTTTATCTAACACTAAAAAGCTTTCCTAGACCCCGCCCCTGATTCTTCTCTTAAAATCTTATTGGCCAGAACTGAGCCACGTGCTCCTCCCACTTCAAGGGAGGCTGGGAAATTGAGTGTCTGGCCAAGAACAGCATGACTGTCAAGGCTACTTAAGAATAATCATGGTTCATTTTCTGGGGCTCAACTCTCTACTCTCTGTGGGTTTTGATAGAGGAGGTGGACTGGCAATTAATAATGTTTGCTCTGGCTTGGCCTGAAGGCGAGAAACCTCCTGGGCAGCGGTGTCAGTGGTCTGAGCACCAAATGCTTGCCCCTAGGCAAGCAGTGCCCTCCACAGAGCTCAGGGCTTGGGATGCCAGGCTTGCTCCTTTTATAATGAAGTGTCCTTCTCCTTATATTGATTTTGTTTCCCTGACAAGACGGAGCTAGTCCTCAGGTCTCCTTTATAACCCTCAGGATTGGTGAAAATACTGCCAAGATTTGAAGATGGGGAATGGGGAGCTCTGGTGGCATAGCCCCTAAGGCATTTGACTGCTAACCAGAAGGCTGGAGGTTCAAACCCACCAGCCACTCCTCAGAAGGAAGATTAGGCAATCTACTTCCAGAGATAACGCCTCGGAGACCCAAGGAGGGATCACTATAAATCAGATTCGATTCCATGGCAGTGAGTTTGGTTTTGATTTGGATGGGGGATGGTAGTTGGGGCCCGGCTCTTTTGGGAGGTCTCTTCTTTGCCTAACTGCCCATATTGACTCAGGTGTGATTCCCCCGACTTAGGGTCCAGGTCCTAAGAAGAAACTCTCAGGCTTGGGTGGACCTGCCAAACTAAGTGAAGGATCACGCTGGCTCATCCGCCATAGCTCTGGCCTCCAGCTCCAGCTCCTCACATTCAAGTCCCCTAATAGGTTCTTATCTTCATTGCTAACGCCACTCCTGAGAGCATTTACTCTCATTGTGCAGATGAGAAACTAGGCTCGGAGTGTACGTAACTTCCCAAGGTCGCGCAACATTGAGTGGCTGTCCCGGGATTTGAACCTGTGACTAGCGTATTCAATCATGTTTATAGCGGTCCTCCCAAGGCAGTGTCATCCTTAGGTCGTAGCCAGTCTCCTTGTCACGCAAAAACGTCCTTTAGCAGAAGCGTCCTTGGAAAACGCTGACAGCGTCTTTTGAGCCTCCGTCGCACCCGTAGCTCGCGCAGCAGGCGGAAGTAGCCGGGAGTTGGCCGGAAGTGGGGCTGTAAGGCCCAGAAGGGGCTGGAAGAGTTGCTGTACTGCGGCCGGCCGCGGGATCTGGGGTTCGCCCGCACTCGCCAGGCTCAGGTGAGTGGTGGCGGCCGGGGAGAAAATCGCCTATCCTTAAGTTCCACAGACCTGGCCCTGAGCCGGCCCGGGACCGGCGCGCGCGGAGACCTGGCTCCGCGCACCTCTGTCCGGGCCGTGAGCGCCTCTCACAGGCCCAGCTTTAGGGAGAGCCTCGGAGACTCCTGCCGCTCCGAAGTTCTGTGACCTCCGAAGCACTTTAGCTGAACCTTGATTTTCCCTATGTGAAATAGAGATAATGGCAGTACTTGGCTCTCAGGATTGAGTCCCTGCTGCACTTTGTATTACACTTTCATATGTAATATACGCATTCCATGGGATCTAAAGATTGTGATTCGGTAGATCTGGTTTGGGGCCCGAGATACTGTGTTTCTAACCAGTTTCCTGATGAGAGTGATGTCTCTGGCTCGCAGACCACACTTTGAGCGGTAAGTACGTAGTACGTAGTACCAGGGACTGAGTGCGTGTTCATTAAATATATACCTATTATATTTATTCTAATGTTTAGCAGTTTCTGGTTGCACAAGCTTAGTTAAGGATAGTCTTGATGCCTTTCTCCCCCCCTTTTCCCCCTGGGATAGCAAAAACAAACGCCCTTTCTCTTTCTGCACAAATCATGACACAGCTCTTGTGTACTGACTCAGGGAGCTTGGGACCTTCTTTATACCAGCCGGCCCCCCTTACCAGCTACATTATCAGCTTCTTTTTGTGACGCTTCATTGCTCGCTCACTGCAGACCCCTGGCCTGTGTTTCATTCTGTCCAGCTAGGAGCCAGGTGCCACTCAACATGGCTGATGTTTTG